CCCTGGATGTAACCTAACAGCTTAGTAACCTGGGCTAGAGGAGAATTCTGGCTCTCGCTGGACCCACCTGACTCATGTGTCCATCTCTACCAAACCCACCAGCTGGAGTTGGATTTCTGGAGCCAGCTGATCAGCCAGGTGGGGCTCATGGGTCCAGCAATGGAGCCAAGAGAAGGGGTCATTTCTTTATAAATCACATGGATTGTGAGAAAGGGTAGACCATTTATCCAAAGGAAACGTGGCATTCTCTGTCTGGAGGAATTGGAATAGACACTGGGGAGGTAAAACCAATATGTCTGCAAGTGGAATTCAGCCCATGGGATGCCCGTGTGCCAGTTCCCTGTTAGACCTAAGTCATAGGTTTTAGTTCATTTTTCATTATTTATTTAATTAAAAAAAACCAGACTGTTTTCTCAGCACTTTTAGGTTCAGAGCAAAATTGAGCAGAAGGTAGAGAGATTTCCCATATCTCCTCTGCCCTTCACCTGAGGAGCACCCCCACCCCCCACCCCCATAACCATCCCCCACCAGAGTGGTACATTTGTTACAATCAATGAATATGACGGTTATTGTCACCCAATTTTCATAGTTTACATTAAGGGGTCACTCTTGGTGTTGTACACTCTGTGGCTTTGGCCAAATGTATAATGACATGTACCCACCATTGTAGCATCATACAGAGTGTTTTCATTGCCCTAAAAATTCTCTGTGTTCCCCTTATTCATTCCTCCCTTCCCTTTACCCCTATGTCTTATTTATTTTTTTAATGTCAAAAGTATCTTGTGTATGAACCACAAACAAACACTGAACGCTGGTTAGTGACACGTGTGCTGAAATTCTGGAATGAAGTGTACTGCTTCATGCCACTAACCGTGAATGAAATGCGTCCAAAAATGAAACGGGGTGCTGGCTAGAAAGGAGAACGGAGAGACATGTGTGAAAGCTAGGAGATGTTAGTAGTTGAGTCTAGGTCATGAGTACATGAGTTTTCACTGTAAAACTCTTCCAATTTTTATGTATCCTTGAAAATTCTTACAGTAAAATACAGGAAAAAATACCTTGTGTGTAGAATGTCTCTTGGCCAAGCGGGTTGTTACAAGCTTCTGTTGAAACCAACAGCTCCTGAGGGGGTTGTAGTTCTTTAGACATTCACCCTCGGAGTTGGTGCAGAAGACCGTTCCTTGCCTGCAGTTAGGCTGGCAGAATGTACCTGGCAGTTCCCCCTGATGCTCCCGGGTCTCCGCTGGCCTTGGACAGCTCTGCTAGTGCTCTTACCGGTTTGTCTATGTCTGCAGGCTCTTGTTTGCTTTCCAGTAAGAACTGAAGCACTGTGTCTCTCTGCTGTGTTGGTTTTATTCTGCAGGCTTGGCTTGTGGTCGAGGACGACTTGGTGAGCTGCTGAGGACGCATTCCAGCACTTCCATGTTCGTTGATGGATGACTAGATAAAAAAAAATGTAGTACCTTCCGACAAAGAATGCACTAAGTTCTTGGATGTGCAAGTCTGATTTCACGTGGAATTTGGATAAAGTCTTTTGTTGCTTGTCATTGACCTTTCAAGGTGGTCAGAGGCTGCCACAGAGCAGGAAGAGAAGATATCCACAATTGCATGTCTCTCTCTCCCCTACCAATTGAGAAGAAAGAGCCAGGGTCCAAGTCATAGTTGGCTAAATTTCATCAGGAGGTGAAGAGTGACTGTGCATGAGCTGAAGGAAACAGGGCTTTTGCCTGAGAGGAGGGGAGGTGAGGGTTAAGGGAGAGTGTGTGTGTGTGTGTGTGTGTGTGTGCGCATATGTGTTGGTGCTCATGTGTGTGTACGTGTACATGTGCACATAGATTTGTACATGCATGCATATGTGCACATGCCTGTGTGTATGTACCTACACACGTGTATGTGTGTACATGTCTATCTGTGTGTATGTGTGCACACATGAGTGTATGGTTGTATACTGTGTGCGTGTGTTTGGGGTAGGTTGAGGGAGGGTCTAATTGACCAGGATGCTGAAGCAGGAGGAGACAGTCCTTTCTCTCTGGTTCAGAGGGACCCATGAGACTCCTGAATACCTTTGCCTCTCCCTTTGCTCCTGTCACCTTCCCTGACAGAAGAGAGTTGGGGTAGAGAGGGAGGAGAGGGGGAGAACAGGAAGAGAGAGGAGGAGGGAGGGGAGGAGATGAGAAAAGGGGATGGGAGGATGGGAAGGAGGAGAGAAGGGAGGAGAGAGGCGATGGAGGAAAGAGAGAGAGAAAGAAGAGAGAAGAGAAGAGAAGGAAGGAAACCAAGTTACCTGTTTGTACCAGGTGGGGAAATGTGTGATGGCAAAAAGTTGGAAAAAAATTACATCTGAGGGTGACACATTGTGATTATTTAAGCATTTAAGTAATCTCCAGGCAGTAGTAATCTCACACTTAGGGGCTGTGCAGAATTATGTTCCCCTTCCTAACAGACCCTGATTTCCCCTCGGAGCGTGATCCTCTCTGCCAGACATGTTCTCAGAAGGAGAGTGAATTCAGGCTCCCGCTGCCCCTTTATGGAAGTAGAAGGGGCCAGATCTTTGAGTCAGGAGTGAGGGGTGGGCAGGCAGGTATCCTAAAGCTGATCAGTTAGATTCCGGTTCTGGGGCTTAGGATCTTGAGTGAGTGAAACGAGGGCAGGAGAGATGAATTTCATTCATGTCCGTGGGGACGGCCCCCCAGGACTCATCTGCTCTGGGGTCATTTCTGTGGTTCACATTTTCTGCCATTCCCAGATCTATGGTTTCCTGATTCCCTGAGAGCCCTCTAGTATCTCCTCACTCCCATGCTCACGGCAGCATTGCTCACAAACACCAAGATACGGCCACAACCTAAGTGTTCGTTGATGAGTGAATGGATAAAGATAACATAGTACAGACAGACAATGGAGTACCATTCAGCCTTAAAAAAGGAGATCCTGCCATTTGTGACAACAGTCCCAGAGAAAAAAATACAAACACTGCATAATTCCACTTACATGAAGTATCTAAATGAGCAAACTCATGGAAGCAGAAGTAGAATTGTGGCTGCCAGGGGCAGGGGCTGGTGGGGAGGAAATGGAGAGTTGCTAGTCACAGGTATAAAGTTTCAGTTACACAAGATGATTAAGTTCTAGAGACATTTAACATCCTGCCTATAGTTAGTAATATTGCATTATACACTTAAACATGCGTTAAAAGGGTAGATCTGATGTTTAAATGTACTTACTACAATTTTTAAAAATCCCCCAAATATAAAGACAGTCTAACTAAGGCTCCGTAAATGTGTGACAAATATTTCTCAAAAAACGAACAAAATGAAACCAAACCTCCCCTTCATTTATGTTAGTCACTGAAGGATCCTGTTACTAGCATCTCAAGGACGTGCATCGATCAGTTGATTATCTTTGTTCTCATCACATTTGTAACACATCACAACTGGTAGAACTTCACTTGTAACAAAATACAGGCATACCTTGTTTTATTGTGCTTCACAGATCATGAAATTGAAGGTTTGGGCAACCCTGTATTGTTGAGCAAGTCTATCATGCACCATTTTTGCAACACTATTTGCTCACTTCGTGTCTCTGTGTTACATTTTGGTAATTTTCGATAAATTTCAAACCCTTCACCAGCAAAAGATTATGATTAGTTGAGGCCATGGGTGATGGTTGGCATTTTTCAGCTAAAGTATTTTTTAAGTAAGATGTGTACATTGTTCTTTTTTTAGATGCAGTGGTATTACTAGACCACAATACAGTGCACTGGGAAACAAAAACATTTGTGTGACTCACTTTTTCTTGCAATATTTGCTTTGTCACTATGTTTATCACAGTATCACTGAGGTATGCCTCTATCACATAGGTAGCCGCATAAACCATTTAATTTTAATTCTCATCATTACTATGTGAAGTGGCCAAGGCTTAATTAGTTCATTTTGTCCACGAGAAATCCATGGCTCAGAGAGAGAAAGCAGTGTCCCCACGATGACCTAGTGCTTGAGAATTGTGGGACCTGCAGAGATAAATTCTGTCCAATTCTCCCACTTTACAGATGAGAGAATTGAGGTCCAGAATGAGGTGTCCGCACATCACATTAGTGTCAGAGCTGGAACACAAAGGCAGCTTTTATAACTCAAAGTGGATGCCATTCACTGCATCATTGAGAATTGGCTCCAAAAGAGACAATAACAGTAACTGAGAGTTACCATCATGTGTGTGTGTTACGTGAATAAAAAGTTACCAAATGTCATTCTCCTCAGATCTGTATAGTTTCAGGATGCCAAGAATTCTCACATGTCATATAACGCCTAGAACATTCCAGGTACTCAAGCCATCAGACTAGAGGAGGACAGAAAGTATGAATGTTCTTTCCAGCTAGCTCATCACGAAAACATTCCCCAACCCTGTAGTTTTTTTTTCTCTCCAACCACTGCACTACAACTGCCAAAAAGTTCAATTTTCTTTAAGAGCCTTAGAAATAGTCCTAAGAGGGAGGCATGGGATATTAAGAGCAGTGAGAGTGAAGATACTTACCAGAATCTTCCCCACAGGGATAAAACATTGAAATGTTCAGAAAGCATGACTCATCAATGTACAGATAAGGCTGGTTCTGCCCAGCACCAATGGTGACAGAAGCAGAGCAGCTAGAAAGGCCAGCAGGTAGGCAATCTAATGGCTGGACCAGGCTAGGTGGGGGCAGAAGAATGAGCTGTCCTGCTCAGGGAAGTTTCAGAATGTCCTGAATGCCTGAGCACTGAGGGCTGTCTCCTCTGGAACAGCACTGTCATCCCAGGGACTCTGTATTACTGATCCAAGTGAACAATTTACAGTCTAATGGCTGGTTCCACTACCGCTCTGCCTTTCTCTGTAGCTGCCCTGTGGGAGGAGAAGCTACAGAAGATTTGGAGAGAGAATGTAGTGCTTTGCCCAGGTGAGGGTTACCCATACACCTGACTGCTAGCTTCTAAAGCTGGTAGGTCCCTGGGGCCTCCTTAAGAGAGCCATGTGAGGTACTCACTTCAGCAACACATGTGCTAAGATTGGAGCGATACAGGGAAGATTGGCCTGGCCCCTGCGGAAGGGTGGCATGCAAACCCGTGAAGCATTCCATGATTTTATCCTCATTCTCGGCGTAGTAAGCCAGAAAGAGAAAGAAAAATATCACATATCACTCATGTGTGGAATCTAAAGAAAAAAAAAGAGAGAGAGAAAAGAAGACACTAATGAACTCATCCACAAAGTAGTAACAGACTCTCAGACATAGTAAACAATCTTACGGTTATCAGGGAAAGGGGATGGCAAGGGATAAATCTGGGAGTTTGAGATTTGCAAATGTTAACCACTGTATATAAAAATAGACAAAAAACAAATTTCTGTATAGCACAGGCAGCTAGGTTCAATATCCCTTATTAACCTTTAATGAAAAAGAGTATGAAAATGAATATATGTATATACATACATGACTGGTACATTATTCTGTACACCAGAAATTTACACCTTGTAACTGACTATACTTCAATTACAAAAAAAAAAAAAAAAGAGAGAGAGAGAGATTCATATGAGGCTTTCCCAAATTGGTGACTTCTGATTCTGGAAAATAAATGCCATGATCTGTCATGATCTATGGCGAGATTTCAAACTTTGGATCCGGGTAGAATTGGGTTGAAGAGATCTTTGTGACCTTGGCTGAGTCACTTCTCTCTGTGTCCCAGTTTCTAACATGTAAACCAGAGATGAAAAAGACGTCTGCCTCACAGGGTTGTTATTAGGATCAAAGAGAATGACTTAGCATGTCCTCAGATCTCGCCATTTGAGTACCATGTGCATGATTTTTACCTCTGGTACTATTATTAACATAGTATTTCTCTTTAAGTTGATTCACTTAGAAATACCTCTATGTAGAAATTAGATATTTAAAATTCATTTAAAAATTAATTTTTATCATGTGTAATCTAATTACTCTCTCTTGTTCTATAAAGAAGGAAATCACTGAAGAAATCATGGAGGGGAAAACCAGCGTCATGAGAATTTTAGCTAGAATTGTAGCCTGCCAAGGCTCTGAGTCTGAGGCCTACTCATTCTTTGTTGAAAGCAGAGATTAGCAATTGCTAGAGAGGCGTTAAAGATACGCTAGCACCCACTGTGCTGTCATCAGAATGATGGGAAAGGGGTAAACTCTCTCACCATGTGATTCAGTGTCACTTAATACTGGGTCTAGGAACCCCTAACATTACCTTCTCCATGGTCTCTTGTCTTAGCCTGTTCAGCCTGCTATAACAGAACACCATAGAGTTGGTAGCTTATAAACCACAGAAATTTATTCTGGAGGATAAATAGACCTTGGAGGTCACGGCACCAGCAGGTTCGACGTAGTGGCTGGCGAGGGCTCACTTCCTGGTTCGTGGCCAGAGCATTCTTGCTGTGTCTTTATTTGATGGAAGGGGGCTAGGGAGCTCTGTAGGGCCTCTTTTTTTTCATAAGGGCACTAATCCTATTCATGAGGGTCCCACCCTCATGGTCTAATCAGCCCAAAGGCCCCCATCTTCTAACTCCATCATCTTTTGGGGTTAGAATTTCAACACATGGATGGGTTGTGTGGGTACAACATTCAGACCACAGCATCTTTTGTGATTCTATTTGGGAAAACATGATGACGTATGTCTTACACAATGCCTGGCCTGTAGGATATGCTCAACACATAGGCCACACTCTGCCCTGTCCCACCTCTGCCTCCTGACCAACCCTGGCGCCTCACTGTGTGGCCCAGCCTCCTGTTTCTAGGGATCTCCGAGTATACCCTTCCTCTTGCTCAGTCCAGACACACTGCTCTTTTACCTTCCTCCATGATTACACCAAACTCTGTTTTGCCTCTGGGCCTTCATGCTTTCTGTTGCCTGTGGTCAACCATTATTCAACTCTGTTCAGGTCTCCCCTTCTGTGTCCAGAGCAGCTCTAGTTCGATCACTGCTTGATATTATTTTCTTATTTTAATTATCTGTGTATCACCTCTTCTCTCCCACTTCAGTGTGAGCTTCATGAGGACGGGGATCTTGTCTGTCTTGTCTCCACCATCTCATGGAAAAGGTGATCAGCAACTATTTTTTAAATGTATGATTTCTGTGATTTCATCTCCACCCCTCTAATGGTTTGGTAAAATTCCCCCCACCCCATTTTACAGATGAGGAAACAGCCCCGAAGAGCTTAAAAGAAATTTATCTGAGGCTACACAGCCAGTAGGTGGCAGACCCAAGATTTGAAACCAGATAGACTTGACTCCAGAATCATTACACTGAGGTCCCAAGACTTAAACGTTGTGCTTAAGATCACCTAGATACAAAGGATTCCAGGCCAGCTCTGTCTGACCCCAGATTTCCTACTGTAGCCACTAGATCATCTTGCTTTTTGAAATAGAAGAATTTGAAGCTTCAGAGCCCTGATTACCCAAATGCTTGAGGTCAATTTGCACCCATATTGGTCGATGGAGAGATGACTGAACTGTAACCACCAATGACATCTTATTGATTTTTGGCAACAAAAATATTCTGATTCCAATTTCAGTATGTGTTTCCTGCCCCCTACACCAAGCAATTCTCCAGTGCTGGCTAGGTGTCCTATAATTCAACTCAATTCTGACGCTATCTATAATAATGTCAGGTCCATCGGCTATGGGCTCACACGAGGTTGCCCCACCCTTCCCCAACCCTGTCCTACTCCAGACATCCATCGCTAGTCCAGGTTGTACCAGTGCTTCTGACCAACCGACTACAGATTGGAGGTTCCAACTACCCGCTCCTTGGGTTCGATTAATTTGCTAGAGTGTCTTACAGAGATCAGAGAAACATTTTACTTATTAGGTTACTGGTTTATAATAAAAGGATGTAGCTCAGGAGTAGCCTGTTGGAAGAGATGCCCTGGGCAAAGCAGGGGGAAGGGAGTTTGGAGTTCACCAACCTGGAAGCACTCTGAACGCAAGACTTTTAGGTTTTTATGGAGGCTTCATTTCATAGGCATGATTGGTTAAGTCATTGGCCATTGACTGTTGATTCAACCTCCAGCTCCTCTCCTCTCCCTGGAGGTCAGAAGGGTGAGACTGAAAGTTCCAACCCTCCAAGCCCTTATCTAGATGTGGAGAAAAACTCACCTCACTAACATAACAAAAGATACCTTCATCTCCCCCAATGCTTAGGGAATTCGAAGGGTTTTTGGAACTCTGTGCCAGGAGCAGGACAAAGACTGAATACATAATTCTTATTTAAAATCACAATATCACAGTGCACAAGGCAAATCTAATAATTAAAGGAGGGCTCCAGTGGCCATCCTTGGAGAGTGCATCCCCCAGAGACTGGAGGCATTTCTGTAGACCGATCACCCATCCGGCTGTGCTCATGTTTTCCTGTTCTCTACTTCTCTTAGACCCGCAGCCAGCCTGTGCCTCCAACGTGTCCCCCATGTTCCTTGACAAAGCACAGAGAGCTCTTCACAGCCTGCACTTAGTTCATCCCTCCACTTCTCTGTCCCAGCCTCTGACCCAAACAGCCTTTGTCATGTTACTGCACCCAATTCTTTGAAACTAAATGAAACTTAGCTTGATTTGGATCCCAGCACTCTGTTTACTGGCAGCGCGGTTTGGCAAGCAATTTTACCTCTTTAAACCTCAGTTTTCTCATTTACATAAATGGAGGCAATATTTTCCAACCTTGCAAAATTACGAAGAACATTAAAGCATGCACACAATATTTGTTGAGCAAACAAATCTCATTTCATCTTAACAACACTTTGAGATGGATGCAATTATCACGTCCATTTTAAGGCTGAGGAAACGGAGGCTCAAAGAGAGTATTTTGTAAGTACTTGCCCCAGATCACACAGCCAGTAAGTGATAAAACTGGGTTTGAGCATAGACGATCCGAATCAGGAGTCCACGCTCTGAGCCAGTTTCCCAATGTCCCGAGAGGTTAGGTGTCATTACCCTAAATTGTTAGTTTTCTTTCTTCCACTTTATTACATGCCTATGAAGAGGAATTAATGATAGAATCTACTTCATGAGTTTGTTGTAGGGATGATATATGAAATATCTCGAAGGAAATATCAATTCTGAAATGCTTAGTACAGTATTTGAAACGGACCAAGTGTGAGTCAGTGTACAATGAATCCTATTCTTATGAGTGGTGGGGGCATTACTGTGGTTGATTTCATCAGAATGCATTCGGCTGCAAATAACAGAAAACGGGATTCAAGTGGATGAAACGAAAAGATCTATTTTCCTCCATGGAAGCAAGTCCTGAGACAGATGGATCCAGGGCTGTTCAATCCGTGCCTGGTTGAGTGACACCATCAAGGGACCAGATTTCTTTGTCTTCGGCTCTGCTGTCTTTGATGTTTCCGCTTTCCTCTCCAGTTTGTTCCTCTCATGCTTGCAAGATGGTGGCAGCTATTCTGTGCATATCACACAAAAGAGGAGCCGTTTCTTCCCTTGTGCTTCTTTATTTATTTATTTTTTTCAGCAAGGAAAACCTTTTTTAAAACCTCCTCTACTCCCTGAGACTTTTCAGATCGTCATGGCCAGAGCTGTATTGCCATCCTGTACTTCCACCAGCCACCAGAATTGTAGAAGAATGAGTGGTAGGTAGGGCTTCACAACACAAAACTGATAGTCCGACCCCCCTCCCAACCCGAGTGACGGTGGGCAACTTACTTCTCTAAGTCTCCAATTTTTTCACCTGTGAAACGGAGATACCATTGACTGATTCTCAATATTGTAGTGAGATTTAAATAAGCTAATGTAAAGTACCAGAAAACTGAGTGACTTATCAACCTTCATCCCCTTACTCAATTTCAGTCATCACAAAATGGTAAAGTGACACCAAATATTCCAAAGTTAATTTTCAGGATATGACTCATCATTTACAGGTTGTGGGGCTCTGGCTAAATTGCTTGATTTTAATTTTTCTTGGAATTTCAAGGATGATGGTGGTAACTATGAGAATAATACTTGCCACCTTTTGCACGTGTTTGCTGGGTGCCAGGCACCCTGCATTAGCCAGCTTCATGCTCATGACCATCTACATTACCTAGGCATGGACTTCACTTTATAGGTAAGAGATTAAGGAACATGAC